GTGAGGATTTGACTCCCTCTGCCAGACAAGGCTCCCGCCGGCTGCAGAGCTTGCTGATGGAACGGGAATAAGAAGGGGGGTGGAGGGGAGAATTGTAAAGGCGGGGCAGGGGCAGACACAAGTACTGTAAGAGCTGGGAGCCCTCCCCCCCGCCCCCCCCCGGCCTCCTGGGTTTGCAGCTGCAGTCCTCCAAACCCTGCCTCTGTGGTCACACCAGTCTCCCTGTGTGTCTGTCCTACAAGGACACCAATCATACTGGATTAGGACCCACCCTCATGGCCTCATCTGGACTTGATTACATCTGCAAAGACCCTATTTCCAAACAAAGTGACATTCTGAGGTTCCAGGAAGCCCATGAATTTGGAGGGAGGGGCACCATCAACTCAGCACAACCACCCTATAACATAAGATGTATTAATTACAGTTCTCCTTATGTCTCGGAATTTGAGTAACAGGATACCAAAAGGGGAGTGTACCTTAGGACAAAAAGAAATATCACCAAAAGATGGCTTAATGGGATTTTGTATTTTCTTTATATGGAAGTTAAATATGATTTAAAGAGGCGTGTGAGGGTGCCAAATAAGCCGCAATATTATTTAAGAAACGGGGCTGACCTTCATCAAACCTTACCTGATATTAAAACAGAACAAAACAAAACCCCCCAAAAACCCCTTTTTTAGCATAAGCATTGGAGGGAGACAGAGAATGAAAGTACAGAAAAGTTTATTTTTTTATTTTTTTTAAGATTTTATTTATTTATTTGAGAGAGAGAATGAGAGATAGCACAAGAGGGAAGAGGGTCAGAGGGAGAAGCAGACTCCCTGCTGAGCAGGGAGCCCGATGCGGGACTCGATCCCAGCACTCCAGGATCATGACCTGAGCCGAAGGCAGTCGCTTAACCAACTGAGCCACGCAGGCGCCCTTTTATTTTTTTTTTTTAAAGATTTTATGAAAGTACAGAAAAGTTTAGAGAGAGTGTTGCCGAAGCCCAAGTTCAGCTGCCCGTCTCTTGAAAGACCAGTACTCAAGAGTTTTGACGGGAAAGAAATAGGAGCTTTCAGAGGCCGGGCCCCTGGGGAGAAAAGGCATACTCTTGTCCAAAAGCCAATTCTAAGGCTTCTGCCTGGTCCAGGAATTTTTAAAGAAATTTAATCAGTTAAGGGGGTGCATTGGTCTATGACAGTTCTTGATGACAATGGTGCTAGCTACAGACATCATTGTGGTGCTCGAGGTTCTGCAAGAGGGTTTGGTTCCTTGGTGCCCGGGATGGTGCAGGACAGCCTGGTGACGGCTAGGAGGGCTCCGTTCTTTCCAGGAAAGAATGCACTATCTATACATATACAGAGAAAGGTTTAAGTTCATCAGTCACAGGCGCTAAGGGTGCTTGCTAAAACTTAAAGACTACTAGATTGGCAGGAGGGGCTAAGGCGGCTTCATGGGGAGCAGGAGTGAAAAAAAAGAGAGAGATGAAGGAAGAGGAAAAGGAGCAGTAAATGAAAGAGGAAGGAAAGGGAGAACTTCCCAATATAAATGGGAAATTTCTTTACCATTGAAGGAGGTAACGGCAATCAGATTTAGAAGAAGCCAGATGATACCGATGAAGCTCTAGAGGAGGAAGATCGAAACCTCAACAGTACTTAAATGATCCTAGCACTTTGGAGATTTGAAGCCATAATTCCTCAGTCCTTAAAGGAGAATTATAAATCTAGACCAAAGAAATTACTAGTGATTATTTTTTTGAAAAAAAAATATTATGCAGTCACTGTTTCCCTTCAAGAAGAATAAAAAAAACAGTAGCCGTGCACATTATCTTCCATTCATTTTGTTAGAGTGGGCGGTCAGTGAGGCTCTAACGGGATGCCCGGAGGCCAGCAAGGAGGCGGCCGTGGCCGGCTGCGGGGAAGGTCAGAGGTCCGTCCTGGCAGCATCCACGAGAAGCTGAGAAGCTGGATCCCACCAGACAGGCCCACGAGGGCGGCACCACGACAGGAAACCCCCGGTCAAATAACGAAGAAAACCCCCAAACCCTGCTTCCAAGAAGTCCCCACCCCAAATAATGAATATTCCGCCTCCTAGTGAACAACTGTCAATAAAAGAAACCCAACCCTCAGGGTGCACAGCTCTCGCTCTCGCTCTCGCTCTCGCTCTCTGGCTGCCTGCTCTCAGGTCTGAAGATTGTACTTTTCACTTTAATAAACTTTCCCTCTTGTGTCGCTTGTCCTCTGTGCTGCGTGTCTGTCCTTGAATTCCTTCTCGTGACACAACCAAGAACCTTAGGTGACTCTTTTGGGTCTGGCTGCGTGGAGGACCCAGGACAGGGCAGGGAGGCAGGTGTGCTCCCCAGTTCACCTGGCAACAATTTAATCAAAGTCATGTATCTGCTCTTTATTATGAAACAATTATTGGGTTAATCACTTGACTCAGAGTGAATGAAGTAGTGCCCGACCTGAAGGAGTTGGGAGTACATAAGGTCAGAAGGCAAATACATCAAACCCCGCAAGACTTCCTGGTAACCACCTACTATTTGGTCTTACCAGCTGTAGCCATTTCATAAGACACAACACTGAGGGAAACAAGACAATTGGAAATAGGAGATGCTTCTTATTTTGTATGTGTTGGTGTTGAGGTGCTTCTCAATTTTGCAAGGAGATATTTCTTGGGCTTTATTGGTTGCAGGTGGAGCAGGCAAGGCCTGGTACAGCAAATAAAGCCAGAAGTTAACCGCAGACAGATAATACTTGGACTCAGGGGTATGGACGAGAGAGAGACTGGTTGAAACTGGTTTATACCACAAGAGAAAGAAACTGTAGAGAAGAAGTGAAAATTCCATCTTGGGACTTCGCTGGAAGTGGCTGGAAAATGAGATAAAAAGAGGATTTAGGCCAGTGAGAGGATCTGGGAGAGGACTGGACACACAGGCAAGGTTCTAGGGGCAGGAATGGTGTCATACAGTCTAGAATTAGTATTATCCTTTCTTTATGTCGGTGCAAAAAAGGGATCTAGCTTAGAGGTTATACATATAGTGAGCTTAACACAATGGACTTTCTTTTCATAACAAGTTTTTGTGGGTTTTCTTGTAAGCAAGCTCCATACCAAACACAGGGCTTGAACTCATGATGCTTTATTTTTTTTTTTTAAAGATTTTATTCATGAGAGACAGAGGGGGGGGCAGAGGGAGAAGCGGGCTCCCAAGGAGCAGGGAGCCCGATGTGGAACTCAATCCCAGGACCCTGGGATCATGACCTGAGCTGCAGGCAGATGCTTAACCATCTGAGCCACCCAGGCGCCCTGGCCTTTGCTTTAAAAAGTTAGGCTTTCAAAGACCCACAGAAAATAGGCGAAATGTATATATGTTGCAGGATGCTGCAAGAAACTGCCATTGTCAGGGGTGTGGTTCAATGGGAGGCCGTGTTTCTTGCATGTGTGAAAGTTCTGGGTTCAGTTCCTGGTGGATCTAGGGCTGCTCTGTCTTCCCATGACTCCAGTAATATAGCATTGTCTCCGTTCACCCCCTTCTTCTCACTATTTTCTGCTCCTTGACAACAGTGGACCGCCCCTACGCAATGGGACCACGTAAGAGAGAAATGAGTAACAAGTAGCCACTAGATTAACCAGCTTTTTCACCTGAGCTACCGTTCTGCAATATTACTGAAGGGAAAGGAAGATGGAAATGAGAAAAAGGAAGAAGAAGAAGAAGAAGAAGAAGAAGAAGAAGAAGAAGAAGCAGCAGCCCATGCCAAGAAATAGGCTGCCCACTTCTGAACGCCTTGTCCGCCCTTGTTCTCTACTGTAGTCTGTACGCCTCGTGGCACACTTTATCTCCTGGACCAGACATCTCCTCCCCAAACCCAGTCATCATTATTAGTGACCAAGGTGGGCATTATTGGCAGGAACCATGACACTTCTTTTCATTTTAGAGTCTATTACATCTAAGTAACAATTTATAGAAGTTTCAGAAGGCTCTAATCTCTGAGTCAGGAACTCTTATCCTGAGTTTTGCATTTTCATGAGGCTATGAAGAGGAGGGTCCTCGGAGGATGTGTAGTGGGAAGGGCTCTAAGTCACCCATTCATATAAGAAGGTAAGGAGGTTTTAGGGTGTTGTTCCAATTTTAGTTGTGAGCTCTTAATCTGCTGGTTGGGAACTAGGTGTTTTATCGTTATTGTCTTAAACTACATTGTTAATTCATGTCCCAGGGTTCTCAATGCTAACACAAGGCCTAAAACCACATAATGGTGGCAGGAATTTTCTGTTTCTTGCTTCTAATTTAAAAACAAATTAACCGGCTTATCGGCTTATCGTTTGCCTGCTGACTCCAGCACAGGCCTCATTGTCTCCTCCATTTACCTGGAACTAGGAGTTGGAAGGCAGCACAGCACCTTCCCTTCCTCCCAGCCCTGCCTCCTTCTGCAGAGCGGAGCTTAATAGAACTTTGTTGTTTTGCCTTTTACTCTGCGGGGAGAGAAGCAGATGATGAGGAGAAAATAATGAATGTCAAAGGAAAAGTGATTCTGTCAATGCTGGTTGTCTCCACTGTTAATTGTTGTGTTTTGGGAATATATCCACAGCCCAGAAGGCTCTTTCTTGTGGATATATCACTCAAAAACCCCAGAAGTTGGTGACAGCAGAATTCAGAGGGCTGGTGGTTTCCAAGCTGGTTTAACAACGGGACCCGCATTTACCAAGAAGAGGAAGACATAGACGATGAAAATGAACAAGAAGAGGAAAACAACGAAGAGCTTCAGCTATCAGACTGGTTTAACCCACAGAAAAGTCCAGAGGTTCTGACAATGACCGGATGGAAGGTGCTGGTCGTGTGGGAAGGCACTTACAACAGGACCATCCTAGAAAATTACTATGCCAAACAGAAAATTACTGTGGGTTTGACGGTTTTTGCTGTTGGAAGATAGGAGAATGTTATAAGAGGACAGTTTCCATCTCCGTTCTGCTGAGGACCCCGAAGGGCTGAGAACAAAACAATAGTAGATACACTGAGCATTACTTGGAGGAGTTCTTACTATCTGCCGATAGGTACTTCATGGTTGGCCACAGAGTCATATTTTATATCATGGTGGACGGTGTCTCCAGGATGCCCTTGATAGAGCTGGGTCCTCTGCGTTCCTTCAAAGTGTTTGAGATCGAGCCTGAGAAGAGGTGGCAGGACATCAGCATGATGCGTATGAAGACCATTGGGGAGCACATTGTGGCCCACATCCGGCATGAAGTGGACTTCCTCTTCTGCATGGACGTGGACCAGGTCTTCCAAGATAGCTTTGGAGTGGAGACCCTGGGCCAGTCAGTGGCTCAGCTGCAGGCCTGGTGGTACAAGGCAGATCCCGATGAGTTTACCTATGAGAGACGGAAGGAGTCTGCAGCCTACATTCCATTTGGCCAGGGGGATTTTTATTACCACGCAGCCATTTTTGGAGGAACACCCACTCAGGTCCTAAACATCACCCAGGAGTGCTTCAAGGGAATCCTTCAGGATAAGAAAAATGACATAGAAGCTGAGTGGCATGATGAAAGTCACCTAAACAAGTATTTCCTTCTCAACAAACCCACTAAAATCTTTATCCCCAGAATACTGCTGGGATTATCACATAGGCCTGCCTTCAGATATTAAGACTGTCAAGATATCTTGGCAGACAAAAGAGTATAATTTGGTTAGAAATAATATCTGACTTTAAACTATGCCAGTAGGTTTCCGAATTTGAGAGAGTATGATTCTGGCAGCTTTCTCAGAAGAGTAACACTTAACTTTTAAACAATACTAACAAAACACCAATACAGCAAATATTTGCTCTTCTTCCTTATAACTTCAAACCTTGCAGTATGGGAGAATGAACCTATGGTAATCAGATGTAAATTCCCAGTGATTTCTTATTTTTTTGGGTTTGGGGAAAATACTATCAACTGAACCAAAAATAAAAAATAAAAAATGTTGACACAGGCAAAGAAAAAGCCAGAAACACTCTGCACGTGCCAGATAACGTACTGGAGAAAAGAGTGCTAACCAAGTGTTTGGCAACAAGATCCAGTTGTGGGGGGTCATCCCCTTGACTTCATTGTCCTTGCTGAGTTGCTTGGCAGCACAACTCTGGAGTAAGGACACAGTCCCCCTTGGCAATCCTCGGATGGTTTCAGTAGCAGACTGCTTCAGGCCATTGGCTGTCCCATGTTCTATTCCCATCAGGAAAATGTCATTTGGCTTCTGTACAGAAGATTGGTGGAGATTCCCAGTGGACATCATGGTGGTGAAGGTTTGGAGTCCCAGGGAATGTGAATGAGCCGGTGGGGGCTCAGCATGGAGTGAAAACAAAAGACTGAAAGTGAGTTTGCCGTGAAGTGGCAGAGAGTGGGAAAAGAGGAGCCACCCCTGAGGGGCTCAGGGTACGGGGCTGGTGCTTAAACACAGCACGGATCCAGGTGCTGAGTGGGAGGCCATGTGGGCGATCTCCGGCCTCCTCACACCCACAACAACCAGCGCGGCGGGGGCTGGCATGGAAGATGCTTCTTGTTTTGCCCAAGTCACTTTTAGTCTGCCGGACTCTGCCACTTGTGTGTCTTCAGTTCTGTGGCCGGAGGAAGTGGATGGTGTCAGAGAAGGCAAAGGCCCATGGTGGACTGAAGAGGCTGGCTAGGAGTTCCACCTTCCAAACCTGCGCTTCATGACAATCAGTCGTCAACGTGTCCTGCGGCTGCCTGCTCTGACCCTCAGGGGCCCCCAGCCCATCATGCCCCAAAGTGGAGGGCTGACAATCCAGGAGTGGACCGGATTGGAAAAACCCTCTCGTTTTCCCCTGCCCCGTCTGCGCTAAAGCAGTGGAACAACCAGATATGGTGAATAAAATGGATAACTGATTTTATATCACAAGCAGAAGGGATGGCGATGGGAGATCCAGTCCTCATGACTGAACATCTTAACATACAGTTCCCTTCTCTAAGAGAAGCTCGGAAATCCTACATATTCTTTAAAGTTAAGCGATTCAGTGTCAAGGAAGTTGGAAGGCAACATCTACATAGGCAGGTATATTTATACTTTGCTTGTATTCCAGTTTGGGTCATTTTGTTTCCATTTTTAAGTGATGGATTTGAAGAGCCACTGCCCTGGCTCCACAATGGGCACAATGGGCTTACGTGATCCAAATGAAGCCCACATTTTTTCCTACCATTTCACTGTGTCTCCTACTCTTTAGTCCTTGCCAAAAAAATCTCACAACCCAGCAAAACCTAACCAAACCAACAAAAATCCTGAAGAAGTGGACTTCGTGAAAGAAAACGGAGACCACACGTCAGTTAGGATGCTGCCTCTCCAGGATTCAAATTTTCTGGGATCCATCCTGGAGTAGAGACAGTTGAGCATTTAAGTCCTACACCAAAGAAATGATCTATCTTAAAAGATTAGGGGAAAGGGTTGATGTTTACTTTTGAGGGAATCTTGATTTCTTTTTATTCATTTAAATTTAAATCCCAAGTGAACAAACTCAAGATCTCATGAGTAGTTATTCTTAAACATTAAAAAAAAACAATAATAAAATTCCTGATTCACAACTGAATAAATTATTTTCTCAGTAGAAAAAGAATTAAAAAAAATTAACCTAAAAAACAACAAAAACCTAGACAAATTCCTGTTCTTCCCTCTGTACTTACTAGGTCGATATAAGTCTGGGTAAGCTACCTGAAGATTTTCTTAGCTGAATCCCTAACTCCCCAGATCCAAACATGGCTCTAAATCCTGTGTCAATCTACTTTCAATCTACATTTTTCTTGTACTCTCAAATCTTTCTTTTTCATGTGTTCACCCATCTAAACCTTGTAAGAGTCTCTAAAATTGTCCTTCTGCCTACAGTGGGAGGATAGAATACAAAAACTGCTGGGTTGCCTACATTTGACCAATGGTTTTCTTACTCGATTGCAACTCTGGGTTTTCTCCCTCAGAGTCTTGACTTAGAAGCCAGTTGAGAAAATAGGAAGATGTATGGAAGGAAGTGCACACTATAAGAGAAAACCAGGTTTCAATTAGCCTCTAAGAATTAGAAATATGTAGGTGAGGGCGCCTGGGTGGCTCAGTCGTTAAGCGTCTGCCTTCGGCTCAGGTCATGGTCCCAGGGTCCTGGGATCGAGTCCCACATCGGGCTCCCTGCTCCATGGGAAGCCTGCTTCTCCCTCTCCTACTCCCCCTGCTTGTGTTCCTGCTCTTGCTATGTCTCGCTCTGTCAAATAAATAAATAAAATCTTAAAAAAAAAAAAAAGAAAGAAATATGTAGGTGAAAGGAAAGACTAGCTTTAACATGGAGCTTAAATTCTGAAATCTCACATTCAAAGACTAAACCATCACTGGCTGAGCTATGCTGCTTCATGGGCAAAGAAATCATAGAAATCTAATCAAGTGGATTTTTGCCTCATACTTTCTCTTTATTCCAGGTTTCCACACTGATTTTGCTCCCACTTATACCGGAGAAGTTCAAGCCTGAATCAAACACTCAACACTGCTCCCAACGCAACTACACACAGGGTTTCAGAAAAGTTGGCTTCCTGTGGTTCTTGTGGGAGCTACCCATAAGAGAGGCTCCTGCCTGGAGGGACCCGGGCCAGCCCACACATGTTCACCCTGTGTACCCAGCAGCCGGGCGCTGTCAAAGCCATGACAACTTTGGGCTAGACAAGTCCCATCTTCCTGTGGGACGAACGTCTCCCGCACCTTCTCTTTCTCTAGGAGAAAGGGGACCTTGTCCATTTTGTGTGTGTGTGTGTATGTGTGTGTTCAGAGGTTAGGGAGAAAGATACAGTGGACCACCTGTAAATTCGTCTCCTTTTGGTTGAAATTTTGCCAATAAATTAATCCAATCCAATCCAATCCAATCTCTGGGTGCTTGATTTTCCAGGCTAGTGGCTCCCAAACTGGTTGATTAACAGAATTACCTGGGAGACTTTAAAATCACAGACATTATTGACTGCTTCTCCTCTCGGTTTCAGCTCAGGTCATGATCTCAGGGTCATGGGATCAAGCCCCACTTGGAGCCCTGTGTTGAGCCCAGCCTGGGGCGTGGGGCATTGCACTCAGTAGGGAGTCTGCTGGAGATTCTCTCTCTGCCCTTCCCCCCACCCTGGCTTGAGCACTCTCTTTCTTCTTAAGACAAATAAATAAATCTTAAAAACAACAACAACAGGTTCCTGTGGGAGTTGACTGTCACACAAAATATTGGGCAAACTCAGGGCCACTCTTTGTGTCTTACGTGATGCAGGTGAGGACTTCTCTAGGCCTATGGAGGTTTTAAAAGGTTTTAGATTTTTGCAAAAGCTCTACAAAACCTGTTGTCCCAGCTCACATATTGCCTCTTTGAGCTTTCTTTATTTAGGGGAGAATTCTGTCCAAACAAGTCTCCATAATAAATTGTAGCTTTTCCTTCCTTTTCTCTTCCCCCTTTTTTGTGAGGGGTCTCCTGAACCCAGAGCCGAAGCATCCACTAACTGGGTCTACACCAGGGATGATGAGAGCGGTGATGGTAAAACACACTGTTCTTCGTTTATGACCAAGTTTTGTGATCAGTTCATTCCTCTTCTGTCAAATCTCCCCCAAATTAGCCTAAATTTTTAGATCAGCGCTCAGGTCACCCATCTTACCATGCTTCATTTCTCACCAACATTATTACTTTATTCCAACTTCTTTCTTTTCTCCCACATGGACCTAATTTCCCTGAGGTAACACACTGCTAATCTTCTATACAGCTGCACTATCTTATGGGTTATCAAAAATAAGAATAGCAAAATTAAAACCACCAAATCAATAAAATAGTACTTATTGTTTATTGTGCATATAATAATAGCTCGTGAACTGGGAGCTTTCACATTTAAGGCTGATAGGAAGCTCAGGGCATGACATCACAGGATGACTTATAATGTGAAAATGAGGAAGTTGTTTAATTTTTATAGTGATTGGTTATTGCAGTGGGGGGTTCCTGATGGTTGAGGATTGCTTGAAAGTGATTGTTTTACACCAAGTTTTAGGAAGATGACTTGTTTCTTTTACAATCATCAGAGGTGTTTATGAGAAATAACCTAAGTTTCACTTGTGTTCATGAAATAAGCTAGATTTAGTTTGGCTTATGTGGCTTAAATTGTTTTAAGGCAATTTTCCAGTCTAGTCTCTATTTTGTATTTAATTTTAACAGGGTCTCCCTTGCCTCGTAGTCATGACAGAAGTTGAAAAAAAAGGAAATTGGAGACAGAAGTGAAGATTCCAGCTGGGATTCTCCCTGGTGCAGAATTAGAACTGGTGCTCTGGTAGACTTTTGGTGAGCAGACCTTGGAGTGGGCTAGGCTGGGGGGCTTTTAGTGGCAGAAATGCTATTTGGTCAGATAGCCTTCTCTCGACATAGGTTTGAAAAAAGTTTCAGGCTAGAATTTTGTGAAATAGGCAAGTTAAATACACTAAGCCTTGTTCTACCAAGTGTTTGATCCTATAATAGTGCAGAAATAAGGGCAATCATCCGTTGTAGGGATTTACTGTAGTGTAGGGTCTATCCAGGTGTGCAGCTCCGTGGGAGAACAGAGGTTCAACATGTAGGAGAGTCCAGCTTTTTTCCTGGGTTCCTTCAATACACCCTTTCTCTTTCCCCTTCA